CCCACGATGAAGAAGAAGGAGATACCTTTGTAGTTGTTGCAGTTCAGTAGTTCTTGTTGAGGGCCATCATCGGCGGTACTGCTCCATCTTGCTGGGCTGGCAAAGGACCAGTCATGCAGAGGAAGTAGCAGGGGAGCCTTGTAGTGCTTAGTCAGGTCTGGGGAGACTCCATCGATACCTGTAGCTTTGCCTGACACCATGCTGTCGATGGCCTAATGCAGACGGCGAGGACACGGTATCTCAAAGTTAAGCATACTATAATGAGTTAAACTAATGACTACGCGACAAGGCTCAGCAAAAACAATAATTTTTGGAATTTCTGGTTAGATCAAATCAGTGACGTTATACTGTCACACTATATTTTGGAGGGTAGAGGGATTGGGGGAGGGGTGCGTGAATATAACGCTAATCGTTTCCTGTTTAGAATGGATAACTTCCTTATGGCGCCATTGGTTTTCACCACGTAAACGATGCGGTCCATCATTTTCCACACACTCCCGCTCCACAAGATCGACTAGAGGATCTGCGTTGTCAGCACACTGCTATACAGCAGACGCATATGGGTCACACCAGACAGGAGACAAGACTCAATACTTTCCATTTGAGGAGTATCCATCTTGGAGGACAAATCGAGCAAGACAAAGTGTCCGACGTCCAGGTCCTGTCCCACTTTGACCCGCTTTGTAAACATACTGACTAAGCAGGCTGTAATGGCTGCCTCCAAGAAGAAATGACAGTACTGGACATGAGTATTGAGTTTCGGGTCCAAATGAAGCCACGAGGTGGAGTACCCTTAATCATCAACTAAAGACGAGCGAAAAGAAGAAAGAAGCAGCGGACGAGCTGGCACGAGAAAGGAACTCAGGAACTTCACTGATCTTGCATTTCGCCTATTTTTTCATTCTTTTGGCAGGTCATAAGCATTCTTGCCTTCACTGACCCACTTTCCTTATATTTATTTTGTCAGCATCCCTTTTACCACAGCCTGGCAGTTCTTTGTCAGATCTTACCCTTCCCATTATATATCACTTGGGTACTGAAAGAGTCTTCTTCCGGGCACTTCAAAATGACCGAACTTACCTTATATAAATAGCACATTCCTAATTGAAGTTCCTTTTACCATCTCCTTATGTGCATCAAAACCCCTTTTTGATGCACCGCATAAATACTCACGCTTGACCAAATATCCACTTTCAAAGGAAATAAAACTCAGGGCGACGATGGCGAACACAAATCTTGAAACCATGGCGGGCTTATTAAATAATAATTAACACTACTGAATATTTATATAACTATACTAATTTCATTCCTGGGAAAAAATTAAACCGCAGATAATTTTGTAAACAACAGCTCTAATGCCATGATGCTCTATATGTAACTGACAGGTACGAAGTTATATCGATATTTTTTGTATCTGTTAATTTCCTGTACATAGAAGTCTTATCAATTTTCCTCCCTTCAGAAATTGCGGGAGTTAACTTGTTTCCTCCTTTTAATGGTTTAAGAGATTCACTTCCGACTGGAATTGCCGAAATGAGACGATTTTGTGGACTTATTCTTTTTTTGAAAATAAAATTGTCAAACTTTGTTTCCGAAGGGGGGGGAGGGCACTTGGGTAAATTTTTAATTTTTGCTGGATATGTCCCCTGGTCTCTCAGAGCCCCTAACCCATTATAGTCTATTCTGTGGCCCATTATAGACCCCATCTTATTCACTTTTTGGCAAATATTCAGAAATTAAAAAGAAATTATATATTTGGCACTTGCTAAAAAAAAATTGAAAATAATAAAAAAAAGACATATTGGCATCCCTGTTTTTAAGCAATGACCCTTATCCCAATGAAGGAGACTTTGGAGCTTTTGAATGACACTGTTTTAGACAACAATTACTTTGTGTAACAAATTTCTCTATTTTCTCAGGCTTACTTAGAAGAATGAGCGACAGTAAATGATACACATAACACTTAAAGAGGACCCATGTTAGAGATGGACGTGAAAATAGATGGTTGGGATTCTGACGGTAAGATTAAAATAATGACCAAGCGCGTAGTGCAGGGTTATTATTATTACGATGTCCAAGGAGCAAAAGCATTATTCGATTTAATGCACCTTTTCATTACTTTAAAACAACAGTTCATTATTGTGTTTACTAAAGTATCACACTAGGATGATGACCTAAAATTCCACTTCAGTAACCTGCTCTTCTATTTATTGAAAATAATAATTCGTTCAAACCAACTGAAAAGTGTATTAAACTAATATCATCGGTGATGATTTTTCTGAAAGTATTGAAATGGCTTAGACCTACCTTAGCTTTCTGTCTAGAGCCATATTTCTGCTTCAAAATATACTAACAGACTGCACACTTCAAGCTAGACCGTGCTGATAACAAATATGTGAAAGGATTTTCGCCTTTGGCTTAGTAAGTGAGAAAACACAGCTGGAATCCAGCTGACAACAACAAACAAGAAACATGAGCTTACGGCTACGATAAGTTTCCACTCAACCAACATTTAACTTATGAAATAAAAGCCGTTTCATCGCTATTGTATTTGAGCAATAGCCAAAAATTTAAAAATCCGCCAGTTACAATAAAACGTTTGCCCAATGGCCGCTTACATAGCTTTTCTGAGTGACAGTTAAAATTCAACGGCGAAATTGATCATTTATTGCCATCAAAATAAACTGGACAACGTGGTCTCGAGCGAGTAGCATTTTAATGATTTAATTAGTAGCAGTTCACAGATAGCGATAAATGTACAGACTTTTGCATGTCCATTTGGAAACAGACTGTAACTAACGATACTATCTTCAGAAATCACAAGCAACTAGGTTGTTAATTATTATTATTCATTCATTCAAAATATTTCCCCAATTCTGATAATTCACCATCACCAGTTACTGGTTACCAGATTTGGAAGAATTGTGTGTTAAACGAGGAAATGACGTCAAAAATGCAGCCCTCTACAGGTTAATGCACCGTTAACCGAGAAGACTTGGGGACGAGGTTGAGTTGTTTTTGTAGTGTAAACTAAAATGACGGACGCATCATTCGTTTCAAGAGTAAGAACTACACCTGGAACTGTAGGCGAAATAATGGCTAAAAATATAGCAAAATCAGCAAAAAGACAACTCGGAGGGCGACATCTGCTTTTTGGAGAATATTTACGGAGCTGGACAAATCAAAACGTCTACTATCGAAGATAAACTTAACATCGATGCAGGTAAGTATGATTTAGCTATGTTTTTAAACTAGGAATTATTTTGAATGAATAATAAAGCAGTTAATGAATTCGGCTTTCGTAGTATATGAAGAATTAAGCAGATCCCGGAGGGTGTTATTGACCTCGGCCTTTGGCCTCGGTGAATAACACCCTCCTCGATCTGCTTAATTCTTCATATCCTACTCAGTATCATTCATTAATTGCTAATGAATCTCTTTCTCCCAAAATCAAAAGCGAGAACAGCTGTGTAAACAAATAGAATTACAGCAACCACGGCTGGAAAAATCGCTTGCCTGAAAGGACAGGACATTCAAAAGAACAAAATGACACTTTGTCAGAAATCCATTTATTTTTTTTTTAACCCTTACAATAGGTGCAGTTACACTTCTAGCCATTTTACCCTTAGGTTAATGGCTTTTACCCACGAAATGTAACATTTGGCAGCGTGTGACCGATTTCCCCAAGATGAAATTGCCTCGGGGAAATTTCCATGGATACGTCAAAAAGAAGAAAAAAATACCTCATGTCTGAGTTCCCTAGGTATATATGTTCTATAGGTTAATAAGAACCCAAAGTGGCTCAAGAAATCACGGGAACAAAATGTACCAAACATTAGAAATCAAGTGTTGTTAACGTGATGTGTTCGTCTTGGCTGCAAGGGGAGCTCTAGGGAAAAGACCGAGTGCAACTGCACCTTATAGTTCTCTTATTCTTGCGTTTGTAATGTATTATCGTCTAGGAAACACGCTTTTTTAAAAATTATGACAAAATAATTCCCGCCGCTCCCTCGCAGAGCCTGCCACCACAAAAACTACCTCTGACAAATGAAGAAGACTTTCAGCTTTTTTCCCATCTCGACAACATTACAAGGGCATTTCACCTCTAAGGCAATGGCTTTGCCGGAATCGACCACGTGATTTCTTGCGCCGTGTTTTCGCCGGTGAACTAAAAGTACGCGCAGTTTAGAGAGCAGTCGTCTATTCGTGAAGAAAAATAAAACCAGAGAAGATCTAGTGGCGAATCCCCCCCGATCCCCCCCCTTATCTCAGAGTCTAGATGACCGCACAGTTGGCACTTAGACCAAACTTCAGGCTAAATCTGTTCTTTTCTCTTTGCTGCGTTAGCTCAATGATATGTACGAACTGGTGAAAGAATTTTTCGCAAAAGTAAAAGAAATTAGTCGAGACACTTTGCTCTACAATTTCCTTCTGACCTTTTTTTGCCTCGACCCTCCATTGCGATGTTGTGCGACCGTTTAAGCTACCTGTGAGAAACAACAAGCATCCCAACTTTGAATGGAGAGGAGGGAGAGGGGTTCGGATTTTTTTTTTGTTCTCCAAAGTACTCTATTTGATTTTGTGTCTCAACCATTTGTTGCAGATTGTAGCTACAATTAAACTAACTTATGCTTATCTTTCAGCGTGATTACAGTAGACAAAACTACATGTTCCAAAGACCATGTCCTACAGTAAAACCTAACATTTTAAGAAACCATCAAACTCACAACGGTCTTGGCAGTGGCTTTCGACGTTCGACCAGTTACAGTGACTAGCACCCCCTCTGCGTTTCCTGGGGCGGCCAAAGGCGATGCGGTAAAATACGCGTAAATGATGGCCAGACGGTCTTGGTAAACTAGGTGTGATCTTTGATAGTGAGCGTTGAACACTGACGTACCTTCAACTGAAACATCAAACATTTCAGTAACACCAGTGTTATAGACTAAAAACATGACTGATTCATTGGTGTGTTTAGGAACCGTGAATTCACCTCCGGAATAGATGGCTTTGACCATTACATGGCTAGGTTGTATAACGATCTTGGAATTGCGTTCAAAGTCAAAGTGTTTCTTGGTCTTGCCCCTCAGTTGCAGCTTGAAAGGGGCCGATGGAGTAGCAAAGGTGGCCGTGAAATGTGCTCCACTTGTAGTTCCAGCTGGTCTGACAGACGCTGTGCGAAGGACGCCTCCATCTTCCTTCAGGATGTTAAGGTACAGAGATGATGACTGTATCTTATCAGCCTGTCTCACTATCAAGACGACATGTGCGTATTTTCCTGAATATAAGATGAGGAAGAAAAATTGGATCACTTTACGTTTCTGGAAAACTGCCCACCGATCCCTCCCCTAACGCAACATTTTGTCTCAAGTGAGAAGTAAGACTTAACGTTGAGTTAGAGGATAAGTAAGTGGAATGCTAATGCAACAACTTTTCATCGTCGTCACCGAGCTAAAATTAAATGTATTTAAAGTGAAAAAAAAATCTCAAGTGAACGTAAACGTCACAAGTTTTGTAACGAAGGTATCAATGAGTTCACGGCAAAGCTCAGGGACCGCCGAGAAATTCGTTTGGCCAACATCGAGAGAGAAGGGGGGACTTAAGCCTCTCCCAACTTTTTGTGACGGTTGAAAAAAAGTGTTTTGTATTGTTTTGGTTTTAGACCATCGGATTCACAACTTACAAAAATCAAAATAACATCAGTTTGCAACAGATCGATTTCAAAGTCTGTTGCTGGAGAGTCGGTTAGATTCTCCACTACAAAATAATGGCGTGACAAAGTCTGTTTCTGTCCAGGATTAATTCGCTTTTCTATCCGTTTCTCCGAAGAATGGTTTTGTAAGGTTCGGAGATATAGTTTTTAAACTAAATTAATTAAATGATAATAGTAACAACAAAAATATAAGTATAAGCCAATTTCCTTCACAACTCCACGAATATTAGCCTGATTGGTCAATCACGTCTTGATGCTAGTTACTTATGATAATAATAATGATAATGATGATGATGATGATGATGATGATGATGATGATGATGATGATGATGATGATGAATATAATGTTGGTGATAATAATTATGATTAAAGTCTCACCAGTAAGGGGATGTGATATCGGTATAGGAGTTCCTCCTACACGAGGAATGACAAAGATGAAATCGAAATCGATGTTGGTCTTGCTGGTTCCTTTGAACAGATATGTGTGTTTTCCAGCACCTGTTGGTACAGTTAGCGTCCAAGGTCCAGGCCTTGGGTTAGCCACCTCAAATATTGTCACTTTAGACATCGTAGTCTTTCCAACAGAACTTCCCAGGGGATCTCTGAGTGTTATTTTCGGAGAGCTGTTGGCACTAGAGATCGTTACAATTATTTTGTCCATTGTGTCATCTACCATCAATTTGTATTCCTTTGCAGCAACACTCCGTTTCTTCTTACCCATCATCATCACTAGCCCTCCAGTACTGCATGTTGTCCCTGCAAGGAGCACTTTTGTAAAATTCTTCATCTTTGCGATATCGGGCCTAGATTTTGGCAGCTTAAAAATCTGACCACAAGAGTCCCTGGCAAGTTCCTCGAACGGCAGGTAATCGGCTTCGTCACCACAGGCATTAGTTAGAAAGAAGTAAACATGTACACCTCGAAGACGTGTTATTATCTTTGCGTCTTGTAACAATGAAACGTCTTTCGGTGGAGCATCTGTAAAAACGTATAGGGGTGAATTGCTTACAGGACCTTTTTTCAGGGCTTCCAGAATTCCAGTGAAGGCCATCTCCTTACAGTCTCCTCCGCCACTTGCAGAAAGAGCATCAATTTGGTCAATAAATTCTTTTCCTTTCCCAGCACCTTTCTTTATGGCTCTGCCACTTTCTGAGGAGTTAAAAGATAAAAACTACGTCTAACTTTTTCATCTTTGGTAATATTGGGCTCTACTCGCGCGTGGAGTTCCGCTTTGAAAGGTTTCTTTGCTTGTCAAGAGAGAGCTAAATAGCCAGTCTGGAGATATATTACCACTAATGATTTTATTTTTAGCGGAGTGAGTGGCTGTGTAACATGGAGGTTGGAGTGACAATATGCAAATCGTGCCGTCACTGATTAGTACACTCAAAGTATCAGTAATTTATCATCAATGACTATAAAATTATTCAAGACAGTGATCAGGTTAGCTTTATTTGGAATTTAAGGTGGAGGGGGACGGGATGGTGGGGTGAGGTTTGGTGCTTAGTGGTGGCGGTGAGAGGGAAGAAAATTGAATAGAAATTGTAGTTGGCCGTTCAAGACAACCATACAGGGGAAAGCCGCAGTATTTCCCCCGCCCATCAAACACTTAAGGCCAGTTATTTAAACGGGCTTTAGCCAGTGTTTAACAAAACTGCGTTCTAAGCCATTTTCAGTTTGTCGAACGTTTTAATGTAAACACAATCTATCTTGAACAGTTTCATGAAAGCACATAGCGTAGACTAAAAAAACATTTACCTTCTTAAAATAACCTACTACGAAAGATAGCTGAAGGTCCAAAGATTTCCTAAACCGCAGACTAAGTTAGACTTTGTTGAAATAGCCGACCCGTACTTTTTAAATCATTTTTTAAAAGGATAGCAAAAACCGAGACATGGCCCCTTTAACGTATCCGATTGTAAATAGTTCTACCAGTTTTGTTTGGCCAGTTGGTATTATACTTTGTAAGGTTTTAGCGTTTCATCTCAACTAGTAAAAATAACTTTAAGGACACTACGTTTTAAGTCGTTTCTAACTTTGAGGTAGTTTTTGTTGACTCTTTATGGACGGATTTTATGAAATTGTTTTTTAAGCCAGGTGTAAGGTCGTTCATATTACTGCCCTCACTATGGTTGAAATATGGTCTTTTACTAAAAAGGTATTTGTCGCCATTTAGATTTATCAAGCCTTGAATGGTACTTATTACAACTGGAAGATTGTTTTAAAGCAGCTGTTGGAACTCTTCCAACTTGAACATCGAATACTTGAAAAGACCATAGTCAAGATAGTTTATGCTTTAAATAACCCAACGATAACATAAGGAAATGTTTTTAATCTCTTACGGATACATCCGATGACTAAGTGTATAACTTAAGAACTCACAAACCTGGGTCGTTAAAAGGCGACAAAATATAATCCACTTCTAAATTTGGCCTCGAGGTTTTGACGATGTAAGTTGCTATATCCTTGACTGCTTGAATTTCTTGATACATACTTACCGTGTCATCCACCGCAAACATAAGTGTTAACTTAATCTGGTTTTGGTTGCCAATAAAATTTTTAAAATTGTCTTTTCCGATTGCCCCTTTGATTGATTGCATCATTTTCTTAACTGCATTGACGTATATTGCACATCGCTTTTTACGACGCGAAGTCGGGGAAGAGTGCTTGCTTTTCTGTATGTTGATGGTAGTGTACAGCGCATGACCAAGTGCTTGGCGAAGAAATTGTCCTTTGCCATGCTGAGCGGCAAGTTTGATAATGCCTTCGATCTTTTTCACTCTGGTTATTGTTTGGAGGTAAAAAGAACGATGGGCCTGGCTCTCGTAAACTGCTTTTTCTATTTCTTCCACGTTTGTCAGCAGGCTGTTGGACGGCGACGAAGCTGATTGAAAAAATGGATGGAAAAAAATAGTTCCGTGATGTAAAGAAGTAAGAAAAGAGTTAAAAAAATAATTGTTTGGTGTTTTATTCATGGACTGATGAATTTAAATTGTTTCTAGTTGCCACTTCTCGTAACACTAATTCAGATAGAACAGATAGAATCAAAATAGATTGAGCTGCAAAGTAATGAAAAGACAATTATATCGTTTAATTTGACGCAACAAGACTGTCTTAACCCTTTACATCCCAAGACTAATGAACATCATTCATACCTCATAAAGAGAAAAGTTTATGAGAAATATTAAAATAACCAATAAACAGACAATGCTTGTATCTATTATCAAATTCTCTCAACTTATTCTTTAAAGATATGTATTGATATCAGTACGGGCAGGGGCATTCCTAGGCATTTTTTGATTGTAAGCCTTGGTGGAGCATATTAAGTGGAGATACAATATGTGTGCGTTGGCACCCATAAGGAGAGCCCAAGGCGCTACATCCTAGGGGGGTCCGGGGACATGCCTTCCCGGTAAATTCTGAAAATTCAAGTAGTCTGAGATGTAATCTGGTGCAATCTGGACGCTTTCATTAATTGGTAAATGCCAGGATTTCATATTGCACAAGAAATAATGGAATATTTAACAAAATGCAGCCAGTTGTGGTTGTTGTCAACAGCAGCAACAACGTAATGACCTGACTAGCGACACATTAGTTGCAAACATATCTGAAATCTTGGTGGAACTCAAGGAAATTTTAACGCCAGACGTCTGTTCTTTTTGGCGCAAAATTTGCGAATCACAACCTCTACATCAGTGGGTATGCCTCTGTAAGCATGCATACATTAAGCATGCATTTTTGCACCTTACAAAAAATGACCGTGATGTGATAAAAGGGCAGTACTTCAAGAGAAAGTATAATAATTAAAAAAGAAACCTCGACTACAAATATAGTTGCGTTCTCGTAGCGTACTCTGTGCACGCCAGTATCCAACACCCACCTGCCGTTTCTGCGAAATAAGACAGCAACGCCTTTCTAGTGTCAACCAACGAGTCAACATGATATTGGTAATTGGGTAATCGAGAGGAAACCAAGTAACTCTGATAGAACAAAAGTATAACCAAACACAAAACGTTTGGTTTGAAATTGCAAACAAATGACTTTTTCTGTTCCTTGGCCATTGTGTAGTAGCAGGAGTTCTCTGCTGTATGATGTCCTTTGGTTTTCTCCTTGCCTTTTGTAACCCCGGTAATTGTACACACTTCCTTGTTTTCCGCCTCAGAGCATCCAACAGATGCAAATGTCTTCCTTTCTAGCTTCTGGTCTAATTGATATGCTTGCATGTGATTTCTTCCCGTCGTCAGCTATTGGTCCATTCGGGGGTTTGCAATTTTTACACAATGTCTCGAAAACGTCCACGTTGTTTTTGTTGTTATTTTGTACTAGGCAACAGGGTGGGGGAAGGGCTGGCACCCCCCCCCCCCCCAGTGATAATTATCCGTTTACTTCGATCATACAATGTAAGTACTTATCGGGTGTCATTAAAAATCATTATTCCAGTAGATTTAGTTTGCTGACAAACTGGCAAACTGTAAAGCACAGCTTTCCTTTGTATGAGATGTTTTTAATTAGTTCTTAAAACTCTAGCCTATAATGTCTCAAGTCTTTTAATTCAGATTATTCCAGGAATGCAGTCACTGCAGGAAGCTCAACCAAACCTCAATTCTGCGTTTCAGTTTCAACGGATGTAAACAGTACCAGTAGTAGCTGTAACGATTGCGGAAACTGTTACTTGAAATCATTTTTGTACTAGAACTTTCTTGAGAGGAGACTAAGCGAGTAGTTTACTCCACGTGGAGAGACTCACAATACATGGATGCTTCCTCGAGGTTCACTATCGCGGTACTCTAACTTGTAACGAATTTAACAGCTTAAACGGTATTTGAAACTAATACGTTGCACAACTGGTCAGGATAACACCAGCCGCGATTTCCTAGGCGTTCAAACTCTTATAGTTCTTACATGTAACCATGCAATTACAATTCTAACCCTACCTCATATCAAGCGCTGTAGTTCATGCTAGAGAGTGTATAAAATTCTTTTTCTTTAGAAATCTTCCCATTTACTAGTAGGTAGCAATACATAATTTCGGCCAGTGGTTAGCACATCCTCAGCACTGAAATGCAAATTGGTGTCTTACATTTCGCCCAAGTATTACCAGAAGAGCCGATAGAGGGAAGCAAATAAATTGTCCTCCTAAAAGTTTATAAAAAAAATTTAAAAAAGCAGGTACTGAGCCCTGTCAACGAGCATTATTACCGTACATCTCTTTCATAGTAAGAGCGGTTTGGAAACATTTCCGACCAATCAAACTAGTTCCTAATACTTACATCAACCATTGCTGACAGACAAACCTGAAAGATGCTAAGTCTACGCTCAAGGTTTGCATCGAATTCACTTCAAATAATGCTGGTCGCATTGAAAGACATGCTGATAAGCGGCTTTTAAAGTCCGCTTAAAACAATTTACCCTTCCCAGTGTGGACTATTTAGCCCACTACCCTCTCCCTCCCCCTTTATCTTCATATGACGGCGGTTACTTTGCACTACTTTGCTCACACTAGGTTCCGCAATCCTCCTTATCTACGTTTTTTCAGCCACACAGAGTGACTCACTCCTTTTCAACTCTTTGCCTAAATGTATAATGTTATAGGAGTTTAGCAACCAGGTTTTTCATGCATATGCCTCGATGACCCCGTTTCAGCTTGAACGGATGTTTACTATATAGCTAGTTACATACTTGTGATTTTTTTTTTTCGGGTTCGTTTTGAACCGCTTAGGTTGTTCATTCTATTGCGTAGGTCCTGTTCAATTTCAGATCTTTATGCGCAGTTCAAAATATGATTCATTTCAAATATTTTAGTTCTTGTGAATAACTTACTAAGCTGTCATTTTGCGACGTATTTTAAGCTAGGCACTGCTGTCTACTACTACTACTACTACTACTACTACCTACTACTACTAGTACTACTACTACTACTAGTAGTAGTAGTAGTAGTAGTAGTAGTAGTAGTAGTAGTAGTAGTAGTAGTAGTAGTAGTAGTAGTAGTAGTAGTAGTAGTAGTAGTAGTAGTAGTAGTAGTAGTAGTAGTAGTAGTAGTTGTTGTTGTCGTAGTAGTAGTAGTAGTAGTAAGACGAGGCAGGCTCAATTAATGGTCTATTGATGATATTAAAACCCTTGTTTTGGAGTACACTTTCGTGAAGAAACATAAACTGGGAAGAGAAAACCTCCGTTTTTTTTGTTAGTCCCAAAACTCAGTGACCCATATCTACAATCAGCCAGTACCCCAAATCTTACTCAAAGATCAGAAAAGCAACTCAACTTTTGCTCGGATCTAACACAATAAAGCCATAAACGTTTGCACCTACTATATGCTTTCTTGGCCGTTATCAAATCACTCTTTCTCTGTGCACAAATAACCATCACATTTGGTTAGCACTCCTCTAGTTTTAACAAGCCTAGACAGACGGCTAACTGAAAACAAGTTTTTGCACCCAAAGTTTGGTTTTGAAAACTAGGCAATAAGTTGACACAACAATAGATTTATTGGAATAAAACCCCCAACCTTGGCTTGAGGAACACTCTTTTTTTGCCCAATGCACCCCATGATTGTGATGTTGACAACAGTTTACAGGTAAGTTTAGTCCTGCTGGTCACTGAGAGCCACTCTCCCCTCCCACACTTCCCTCCCTCCTCCCCTCCCTCCTCTTTCTCAGCTGTCAACTGTCAAGTTATTTTCAATCAGTGACATAGAATCAAATAACTATCATTAGAATCATTATTTCGGTAGCTTTATTTTGCCCAAACTATACTTCTATATACTATATTTCAGCGATTCATATTCTTTCCCGGGATGATAGTTGATCATTTCTTTAATCCAGGTTTTTCCAGGGATACAATCAGGAAGCTGAACCAAACCTTTTCTGCGTTGCAGCTTTGACGGATGTGTGCTGTTTACTTTCTTCCTTAGCTTATTCAGCTTTTATTATTGTGATTCATGCCCAGAAGCCACGGCTACATTTTCCGAGAAAAATTCCGGCTTCCCAGCTCTCACGTCACTTTTGACAGCGACTGAGTAGTAACAGCCATGTGTATGCAGTTTAAGGGAATCAAAAATCAAGTCTTACTTTGCATAACACTACAATAGCGAAATTGAAACAGCAGTAGTAGTAACATACAATAGCTGAAACTGTGTAATTTGAAATTGTTTTAGTACTAGAGCTCTCTGGAGAGGGAACGAATTTTCCACATGGAGATAATCCACTGTAAAGGTGTGCTTCCTGGAGTTTTTCTTTCGTACTTGAAGATGTAACAAATTCAATGACTTACGCGGTATTTAAACTGTATCAAGCAGAAGGTACAAAATTAAACGATTGGTTTTAGCATTATAGCCATGATATCTAATCGTTTGAGACTCTTTTCTTTTTTTAGTCACTCTTTATGATCACTTGCAATTCTAACCCTGCCCCCGGCAGTGGTTCTTGTTACAAAGTGTACAAAATTGTTTTTCTTTGAAAATCTTGCCCTGTATATAACATTTCTCAACTTCGTATAGTTGTCTAGCAATCCCTTAGCACTGAAAAACTGCAAACTAAGGTAAGGTTCAAAGTTTGGCCCAAAATAGCTCACCAGAAGAGACCGATAGAGGGAATTACATCAGTAATGTCTTCCTAATAGTTTCTAAGACAAAAGCCGCTGGTGACCCCTATCAAAGCAAGCATCTTATTGCCGTAGATAGATAGATCGGCTTGGAAACATTTCTAACCAACCTTTGCGGACAGACTAACCTGAACGCTTCTAACTCTTCCCTGATTTTAAGGGACAAATTCTGAGGGAAAAGTAACGAGGTCTATTTGAAAGGTTGCCTCCATTTTGAACCATTTGCCTGAATTCATAAAGTTGCAGGAGTTTAGGAACAAAGTCTCGCATGTCTAAATCGATCTCGATGACCCCGTTTCAGCTTGAACGGATGTTTACTTATTACATACTGGTGAATAACTAAGTAAGCTGTCAGTTTGTGATGTTTTTTAAGCTATCCACATTTTTTACGCGAAAATTCCTTTCCAGCTGAAATGTATCTCTGCCAAGAGGCACACCAATTCTCTTGAGCCCATAATGAATAGTGAAAAAAAAGAAGAATACAGAAAAATCCCTCTATTTCTTTTTATGATTATTGAGACGAGGCATGTTTTCACAGCCATCACGCGCATAATTAATGGTTTATTGATGATATTAAGACGTACTCTAGTTTTGGAGGACAAAATCCGATGCGCATGTCTTTGGCATATAAAAATAAATAAAGGAGTTTAGCTCAATCAACAAATGGCTTGCACCATTTACAAAGAATCCACACATTTATAGCTACACCGTTGAGGGACCGCGGAGCATGTTTTGGATTGGAGGCGCGAGCTTATCAAGGAGGTCTGGGGAATGCTCCACAGGAAAATTTTAAAATTTAGAACTTCTGAAATAACCGGGAAACTCGTTTATTCCTATCAATCCCGAGAAAATGTGACCCTCCACGGGATTTCAGGGAATAAGGTGAACGCACGTACACGGCACGTTATAACACGCTCGCAGGCTAACGGCATGACGGGCTTATCGTGCGGATATGCGTATAAAAACAATTGATACTGGAATGCGTGTTCGTAGCCATTGTTCTTATCTGGTTAACACGGTAGAGCTTTGTTTTTATAACACACTAGATTTCTTTTTTTTTTTTAACACGCTAAGTTCCTTTGTTTCCCTAACACGGTAGAATTCTTAGCACACTAGCTTATCTTGTACAACCCAGCTTAGTTCGTTACTTGTGTTTGTCAGCTTCTTATTGTGAAAATGGTGTTTTTAAACTTACAGAATATAAGCGAAAATGAATAAAATCTACTGTCCTATTCGAAAGTGTTAATAAAAAAAAGGAAACATTCACGGCAAATCACGGCTCTTTCTCTCGGGATTTTCACAAGTAATTCACTGAGCACGACGTGTTTCACAAGGTCCAGAGGAGCACAGTTTGAACACATAAATTATTTTTTTAAAAAAAACTTTTTACCTTGTAAAATATACATCCTAATTATCGCTTCACGCAATAAAAAAGCCCAGTACCGGATCTTTGTGGATCCTTTAGAAACAAATTTCCTGCTCCATGTCTCCCGATCGACGCGGTCGCCGTTCGTCACTCTACGCAAATCGGCATTTTGAAAATGAATAACCGCTAGTTAGTTGGCACAAAACGAAGCTGTCCTAGCGAGGCCGCGAATTATTTACTGTACGCCGATCTTGGCATCTTACGAGCTCTTACTCTTAAGCACTGTGGTATATACACGTTGCGTAACACAACTGTAAAGCGAGGATAATTCGAATTAAAATTAAAATTGTCGATGGTATTAACGAGTTTTTTAGTTCGCAAACTGAACAAACTTTAAGTTTAAAACTCCTCTGGACACTGTGCGTGCATTCACTTGCTTTTGGTTTTCATAGTAACGCCATTTACACTACAAACATTTACACGCGCAAAGGAACACGTAACGCTTCGTAGTCGTCCATTACATGTACCAAGTTTCAAAATTCAACCACAAAGTAATGATTTCTCATACTTTCTTACGACGAAAGAGATTTAGAATCCCTCGACGAAGATTGTTTCAGCGCCAGACCAGTTGACGAGCAAGATGACCAAGAGGACAGCTATGGTTCTGACTTCAGCAGTGATGAAACTGATCAGGAAATTGACTCTGATGTTGCGTTGACCTTGCGGATTATGATATATCCCCGGGGGGAGGGGAGTACTCCCTTATATAAGCCACATAGGTATGTGCCGCCGCATCGGGTAGGGTTTTTGCGCCGTTTTGGTCTGAAAACGGGTTTACACGCACTTTGCCTATTTTGGTCTGGAATCTGGCATGGTTTTCGAGGGAACTGCGGAGTGGATGAACTTATTTATCGTTTCCATTTCAAATGAGTAAGAAAGAAAGAGAAATATGCGAAATATTTTTTAGTTGCGCTCTAATCTAAGTAATGATAACATAACTTCTGTCTAAACGCCAGGTCTGAAAACGGGCATGGATTCTAGATCTGGTAATTTTAAGAGTGATCCACATTGCTATAAACTGTGACCAGGTCAGCTACTTAGGAAGAGCAGAGAAAAATAGGAAACGAACCAGGATACAAGACAATACAATAACCTGTATTTAACGTGGTCAATGTTCTTAGCTAATTAGCTACTTTTCAGACATGCCATGAAGGGATGCCTTTCTATTTCCACAGCCACCGAATCTGCCTGAATTTTTTCTTTTCATGCATCGTCTCCACAAGACCAGATTCTACAGTCTCGTGAAACTTTATCGGGTTAACGGACTATCGCTTCGTACTCACGGCAACAAGAAACGACTACCAAACTCTGCTTTCAGTGCTGCCACTATTGAACCGGTAGTAAAGTTCATCATGAACGTCACCGAAAGACAAAGCCCTTTTACTTCCAGGACGTGTTCCTGGCTTCAAAAGAATTGACGTGAAACTGCTGCCGAGCTCCATGACAAAATCTCGTCTTTGGAAAAGCTACCAAGGTGCGTGCGCTGCTAACGGACACGAATCTATTGGCTACTCAAAGTTCTGTGATTGTGGAGCCAACTTTGCCTTTTCATTGTTATAATAAGACCAGCGTCCGATCTCTGCTGGACATCCCAGAAGAACAAGAACCAAACTCTAAAATCAGCGAATTTACCGGATGTTCAAAAGGCAGAAGTTGTAAGGCAGCAAGAAAACCATTTGAGGCTCGCTTTAGGGGAGAGGGACTTCTACAAAAACTGGTGCAAAACAACGAAAGATACCCCCACCGAACACTTAAGAAACGTTGAGTTTTCCGAGAAAAGAGCACCCTGTAGTCTTGAAGGAACTTAACAGTCCACTACTCGTATAATTATGCCCAACAGCTTCACGTGACCCTGCCAACCCTTTTCAGGCCGAGCTAGTGTATTTCAAGACACCACTGTAAATGCGGTTTGTTTGGAGTGTGTTGTGAGGCCATACCAAGACAAGTTAACTTTTTAATCGATGAAGGTGTACTTACGGGAAAATGTGCAAGCAGCACGATATCGTGCATCCACTACTTTTTTGAGTGGCACGGACTTGCTGAAACATTTACGCAAATTCACGTCCATAACTGCAGGGCGCAAAATAAAAACAACGCCTTGATCGATGTGGTATTACCTTTGGACAGGAGCCCCTGCTTTGGAGAGTGATGACCGGGCTACGTAGAACTTTTTAATAGCGGGACATGCGAAATTTGTACCAGATTGGTGCTTCGGACTTGTCCAGCAAAGAACAAGGAAAACGTCTATTTCATCACTATTTGATATAGCAAGGGCAGTCGATCGAGGATTCGGCGACTAGAGAGATTAAGATTCACGTTTACGCCAAACGGCAAACGTGAATTTGCACCACGTGACCAAGTTTTCCCCCTATTTTTCGTTTACCGTTTATTGCTTCTACACAAAAATATGTAGTTTTATGGTAGTTTTGTCCACAAGAATCGTTCTGGACCTTTTTTAACTGCTTATTTTCTATTCTGAGAAATTCCTCACTGACGTTTGCCGTTTGCCGTATGCTGTAAACGTGAATCTTAATCTCTCTATTGAACACGGCTGAGTTGCTTGGATTGCACAATGACACAGTACTGATCTCAACGTACGATTGGATGAGTTACCTCGATACATTTTTCAAGAAGATTCCGCATCTGAAAATTTATCATCACTTCCGATTTGATAAAGCCTTTCCAGGAACAGTGTTTTGCAAACATTATTTTTCATCCAAGGAAACGGCTATTAACATTTTTAAAACTGACAGGAACATGCAGCAAGCAGACCTTTTACCTCCTGTTATTACACCTAAACGCATCAGCCATGAAAGGGCCGAATACCTGTTCAGAGAAATTAGTGAGTTTTGTCAATCAGGAACCGAAGACTTTGTTGCCCCTGAAGTCCATTAAAATAAAGACTCAATTATAAATGAACACGGTTTTTTCCTTTACTATAAATTTTAAATAATATGTATGCCATTTTTGTGAACAGAGGTAGTTTAATAGTAGTTTGGACTTTTTTCTTTTTAAAATAAAAGCGCGGCAGTAAGGCAAAAAACGCGCAAAGGCAACCAGAAAAACTTAAAAAGCAAAGCGCCTCACTAGGAACAACTAAATTATCCTGAGAAAAAGTGAACTGAAGTCAATACACCTCCACCGCGCGTGCACCGTGTGACTTTTTACTTTTCAAAATAAAAGCGCGGCATTAGAACGGCTTAATTTTCGTGGGAAAAAGTGAACTGAAGTGAATCCTTCTCGATACTGCCGGCAACGTGTGAGTTTTTCCTCTCTGAAATACGGTAGATAATGATGACGTTTCTATTGTTTGCACCCGCAAGTACGAAATGGTTAGGATGACTTAAAGACAGAAAATCCCGACGGGACCGCTCGGGTAGATTTTGTGACACTTATTGTGCAGTCATACTTCGATACTCTTTTGTGTTACGTGATGGAGCAGTTGTTTTGAAAGTTATGGACCAAAAGACACTTGTTAAGCGCAGATGAGGTTATAAGGTGCGTTTAACTGTGTATATAAATAAAACACTTGGAGAGTTTGCCAGACACGAGTTCACAAATCTTTGATTTGTATTGGAAACCTTGCCAGACACTCTTTCTCTCTCTTTGACCGGAATAAGACTCAGCCCCAAACAAGGAAGACGAGTGAACAACGGCTAGCGTATCACTAGCAGAATGATGGATGATTACAGACATTCACTGACAATCAAATTCTGTGCTGACTTATCCCCTGCTCACAGTTGTCCTTCCGTTATAAAGACTAGTTTCGAATAAGACTAGAATGCGCGAGAGTGAATCGATCAAACGTCCTTTTAATTTCTAAGGCTTACTTTCCGGAAAATAAAATGAACTGAATGTAAAAAGTGAAAGAGAAATAGCGACTTCTAATTAAATCTCTTCTTATGGTTTAGAATAAACTATTCTCGAGACTGAGAATGTTTTGATCAAAGCTGTGTAAATCGACCTGAAACTGTGCATGGAACCTTGCGATTCCTGTATTTATCTCACCTATTGGATGGAATATGTGCGAAAATCTTCATTATGAATCGGTATATTTCAAAGAGCTACACAACGAGCAAGAATACTATTGACCGACAATATACAGAACGGGGGCAGCTGTAGTGTCAACTATAACTAGCGTATAATTATATAATTTTGGCAGTTGTTTCTTGATAAGTTGGTTTTACACCTGGTTTTAATTTCCGTGCTTTGGCCAGTCTTGATTGTGAAGAGTCCTTAAATTTCAATGGATGTCATTGAATTCAATAAATCATTGACAAGTCTAAATTTTCGCAAGGGTCCATCCTTGAATTTTTCCCAAACTGGATATGATAAAATTAAGTTTAGGTGTTTTGAGTACAGATTTGATTATTTCTTTTTCTCTAAATTCTGTCGTTTAGTCTTTTACAATGTGCTTGTGTACTAATCTACAAGCAAAGTGACCAGTAAAGCTCTTTGTACGTGTATCATTTTCATACTCTTGTGCATGTCGCACAGATTTTTCATGGACAGACCGCAGGACAGGGCTGTGACAGTCATTTTGTGGATTACAACTTGTATTCAGCCAGCAGCCCTTTTGCTAATGATATGTCTCATAGAAAGTATGCTTCTAGTGTAAAACTGGAAACGTTAAATATTGGGCAGTTTTAATGTTGATTTAGTTGCATTTATGTAGTAATTTAATGTACAAGATGCAATAACATCAACATTATATATTTAATTGTATATGTGTTGTTCTATGCTTACAACCAAGAAATGAAATTTTAAATTGTTAAGCAATAATGTTGATTTGGTTGTATTAATAATTTAATGTGCAAGATGTAATAATATCAATATCCTTTACAATTAATTAAGTAAATGGTTTCACTCGCTTGCACTTGAATTATTTCGACCTGTAAAAGAGTTCTTATTCTGCACATGTTATTTAATTTCTTCACCAAGATTTATTCTACTTTTCAGGCAAATGTTAACATAAATAGAGAAAATGAGATTCTTCTCAGTTAGAATTACTCTTGGGAGCTCCGGAACAGTGACACACATGATTTGAAAAAATAATTTTGTCATATCAAAGCAATTTTTATCTGCCATAGACGCTGTTTGAAGCTGGTAGAGCTGTATTTATCATGAATTCAAATTAACATTTGAGGAAAACTAGCTTAGCCGTGTATTTCAAAGCTATTTCGCATTATTTCCGGTTCAAGTCCACAAGGGAAAACAGGGAAAAACTAAGGAAAAGAGAGAAAAACATGGGGAAAAAACAGAACAGGGGAAAACGTGGGAAAACAGGGGAACAAAGAGGAAAACATGGGAAAACAGAGGAAAACATGGGAAAACAGGGGAAAACATGGGAAACCATAGGAAAACAGGGGGAAACATGAGAAAACATAGTAAAACAGGGGAAAACATAGGAAAAACAGAGGAAAACATAGGAAAACAGAGGAAAAGATAGGAAAACAAAGGAAAACATAGCTAAGAAAACAGGGGAAAACATAGGAAATCATAGGAAAACAGGGAAAAACATAGGAAAACAGGGGAAAACAGAGGAAAACATAGGAAAACAGGTGAAAACATGAGAAAACAGGGAAAACCATGGGATTAGGAAAACAGGGGGAAACCATAGAAAAACAGGAGAAAACAGAAGAAAACATGAAAACACAGAGGAAAACATGGGAAAACAGAGGAAAAGATAGGAAAACAGTTGAAAACATGATAAAATCGGGGAAAACATGGGAAACCATAGAAAAACAGGACAAAACATAGGAAACAGGGGAAAACATGGGACAACAAAGGAAACAGAGGAAAAGATAGGGAAACAGGGGAAAACACGATAAAACCGGGTAAAACATGGGAAAACATAGGAAAACAGGGGAAAACATGGGAAAACAGAAAAAAAAAAACAGAGGAAAACGTAGAAAAACAGGAAAAACAGGGAGAATCAAGGGAAAATATAGGAAAACAGGGGAAAAAGGGGGGAAAACGCAGAAAAACACGGGAAAACAGAGAAAACATAGGATAACGGCGGAGAAATAGGGGAAAACGTAGAAAAACACGGGAAAACAAGGAGAATCAAGGAAAAACATAGGAACTTAAAGGGGAAAACTTAGAAAAACACGGGAAAACAGGGGAAAACGTAGAAAAACACGGGAAAACAGGGGAAACCTAGAAAACACGGGAAAACTGGGAGAATTAATAAGAGGAAAACGTAGAAAAATACCGAAAAACAGGGAGGATCAACGAAAAACAGAAAAACAGGAAAAGGGGGAAACGTAGAAAAACGGAAAAACAGAAAAACAAAGGAAAACAGGGGAAAACGTAGAAAAACATTGGAAAACTCGGAAAATAAGGGGAAAAAAGAGGAAAACATAGAAAAACACGGAAAAACAGGGAGAATGAAGGAAAAACATAGGAAAACATAGGAAAACGGCGAAAACGTAGAAAAACACGGAAAAACAGGGAGAATCAATGAAAAACATAGGAAAACTGGGGAAAACGTAGAAAAACACGGGGAAACAGGGAGAATCAAGGAAAAACATAGAAAAACACCAGAAAACAAGTGATAACGTAGGGAAAACAAGAGAATACATAGGATAACACAGGGAAACTTTTTATATATATATTGGGGACATATTATGGAGTCTTACGTGAGATACTGACCTTCAGATTCGGAAGGTTGCAGAGATTGGCGACCTTTGTATTCGTTCTCGGTACAAAGGCGTCTTGAAGCAAGATCACGAATAGAAAGCAGAACTATGGTGTGTTACCTAGGCGGAATTTGGAGGCGACTGGAGCCTTTGGAGAGAATTCACGGTCGTTTTCCTTCGGTGGATCCGTCGGGCCGCTTCGCTGGAGTACTCAACCTTGGTAAACCTCACGGGGGAAGGGAAGGAAGGTGTCTCCAGGGA